AGCCAGCACTGCTTTGAAGTAAGGCACAGTTATATACTCTCCAACTTAAACTTACTCTCATCAATCATTTACCCAAATAAAAGGAATTAAAAGCGTTTTCATGAATATCCATATAGGATTACAAGCGAAAAAATCTAGGAACGTCCAACATAACTCTAAAATATTGTGTAAATCAGCGCAATTGATTTTATCTGTTTTGTCATTACAAATGATTTTCTCAATAACACGATATAACAGTATGGATAATATACATCAAATGAAAAAAGCTGATTGTGCTTATATGTCTGTGCTTTTACGTCTGATTGTACTTTTATATCTGTGCTTATATATATATATATATATATATATATATATATATATATATATATATATATATATATATATATTTGTGGGTGGGTGTGCTTATAAGTCTGATTGTACTTACATGTGTGTGCTTAACATGTCTGATTGTTCTTATATGTCTGATTGTACTTATATGTCTGTGCTTATATGTATGATTGTACTTTATATATATATATATATATATATATATATATATATATATATATATATATATATATATATATATATATATATATATATATATGTGTGTGTGTGTGCTTATATGTGTGATTGTGCTTATATATCTGATAGTGCTTATATGTCTGATTGTGCTTATATGTGCTTACATGTCTGTGCTTATGGCTGACTGTACTTGTATGTCTAATTGTGCATTTATATCTATACTTATATGTCTGTGCTTATACGTATGTGATTATATGTCTGATTGTGTTTATATATCTGTGCTTAGAAGTCTGTGTTTATGTCTGATTGTAATTGTATGTTTATTTATGTTTATATGTCTGTACTTATATGTCTGTGTTTATATTTCTGAATGTGCTTATATGTCTGATTGTGCTTTTAAGTCTCAGATTATATAACTGTGCTTATATGTCTGATTGTGCCTATATGTATGTGCTTATATGTTTGGATGTGCAAATATGTCTGTTTGTGCTTATATATTTGATTGTGATTATATGTCTGATTGTGCTTCTGTGTCTCTGTCTTCGAGGACATGCCTTAATGCAAGAGTACATGTGATATGTTCTTAATTATAGAGAAGTTCAAAGTTTTCAGACATGGAAGCCAACTCAACCTAAATCGCGAACAGCTGGATCAAGAGCAAGAAAAAAATAATAAACATTTTTCTTCATTTGATATAATACTTTGGAGAAAATATTATGACACAGTAGATTTTCATATTTCCATACACTACACTGTTATCAGAAAAATCAAAAAACATTTAATCCATTGCGTTCTCCTCCTCTTTGGGAGGAGAGAGGAAGAGCTAGATGCTGTTAGGTTTTAACTAGGCTGTTCCACACCACTCGCCAAATCCAAATGACGTGGAAATGAGTTCTCGCATCTTTCGTGAAGATAAACATCAGTTCTGATATGTCGACGTAGCCGACAGATGTATACGAATGTCGACGTAGTCGAAATATTTAGCACGTTTCTCAATTGATCTGGAAGATGTGCTTTGCAGGAACATTGTACATAGAGTGATTCTTGACTGTCAGAAGGAAGACAATCGAACAGCGGCAATACGAAATATGTTGCTATCGAAAAGGAATACTTTATACGGATTCAATTTATCCACCAAAGTAAGGACTGAAATGTCCAGGATCAAATTATTAGAAAGAGAGAAACGCGACAGAGAAATGCCATTGTACCTCCCAGTGCTTATTGGTAAATAACAACTGATGCGATATTTGGGTATGGGTGGATATTATCGGAATTTTTGCTGAAATTTATCCATAATTGCACAACCTGTAAAAAAATATTGTCGAGTAAGAAATCCAAACTCAATGGTCTGACAAATCTCAGGAAGCTTTTGACCAAATTAAAGGTCGCGCTTAACTGTGCACCTTTTCCTTCAGCATCAAATTTCAGTCTATCATTTAAAATGTTTGTTGATGCAAGTTGTGCAAGAGTTGGTGGAGTATTGATTCAAGAAGATAAAACTGTTGTGGATTATCCAGTGTGCTATTTTTCTATTTAAAATATAAAATAATTAATGAGCAGCTGAAAATTTATTCCACAATTAAAAAGGAAAGTTTTGGCTTTTATTTCTTCGATTTAGCATTCAGTGATCACAATCTTCTTATTTTCATTAACATAATCAAATGATTGTTGAGGTGGAGTTCAATGCTGCAAGAATACAACATTGGCATTAAACACATACGGGCAAAAGATAATGTGATTGCAGATTCACTCGCACGTGTATAGAAGTAACATCCTGATTTATTTTGTATATATTGTGTGTAATTAAGATGAAAGGGATGCCATTGTACCAAAGGCATATTTCACAAAATTTTTGTACAAGAACGCCTTATTGTATATTTTTCTCTATGAGGGGCTGTGTAATTTATATCTATTTTGTGTCCTTAACTTTTGTTCATGATTGTGAGTTACTTTAGATAATGTAAATAGATAGTGTATTTAGCACCCAACTCCCTCAGAACTACGAGAAATGAGCATGAAACAACGGGAACGTTTCTTGGAGCAAGTTTTCTTTCCAGTTAAAAGGATAAAATTATGTCATAGAAACGTTAAAATGTAAAAGAACTTCAGTGGGCTTAATTCCTTTCCCCCTCCGCTAAAGATTCCATCCCACAGACCCCTTACTTTCTGGTTTAATCCGCGCGTTTGTGTGTAAAAACAACCGATATTTGTATTTACCTGAACCAAGAGATTTAGTATAATCACATGAGTTTCGATGGATGTGGAAGATATTAATGAACTAAATTCCCTAATCAGATCTTCTTACATACTACTGTCGTTCCTAAGAAATTCACTAATATTTTCTTCTGATCTTTTGTGTGGAGATTAGCTACCCAATATGGAAGGTTGCTTTAAATAAAAAAAGTGCCATTCGAAATCTAGGCAGAAAATCCAATGTTCATTGAGTTCAGCCTCTCGGCCTTTGCTTAAGATATCAAAGCAATTAGCCGTGATTCGAACACAGCCTCTGCTGACCTTTTATGTTGTGTCTTAATTAGTGCGTTATATATATATATATATATATATATATATATATATATATATATATATATATATATATATATATTAGTTATAAAACTGTGAATAGTATAAAGGACAAATACATAGGGAAGGCAGTTTGTTTTAAAAAAGCATCATAACTGCATTCGTCACTCATTAGCGTATGCATTCAAGTGGAATGTCATTTAATGTATTTGGTGCATATTTGTAAAGAAAACATATTTCCCTGTTAAATTTTATCACCTGGGTACATAGCTTCTAATTGATCTGAAAATACATTTTACTGTTAAGCCTTGGGGTACTGCTTCGTGTGAATAGGACACATGCTGGTAAGTTTGACTATTTATATTTGACATGTCAATGTTTAGTTTAGTTCTGTTATGTTTTCTTTTGATTGCTTTTATTGGGGACTGTCTTTCTTAACGCATTAACACAATAACTGTAGTAATATTTAGACTGTCTTGACAAAATTTGTGAACGGAGACATTTTATTGGCTTTTTGCTATGGCAAAGGTTTGTCCATCATGATGACACATAAAGTTATGAGAAGTAGTGTATTGAGGCGTCTTGTCTCGTTAAATTATGAAACTGAAAATTTAAAACTAAAGTCATCTAATTATAAAATAACACGTTCAACCGTTTTGATATCTTCCGATAATTGTAAATCATCGTGAAAATGACTTTATGACACTATTTGGGATTTCAAACTGTGCACTAATATTAAGGCTATTAAGGTCAACGGATTTTGCATTTACGTATTTCCAGATATGGCTCGTGATCTCCAAACCGCATATATTTCAACATAAGTGCAAACAAAGTATTCGCTCATTTAATCTATTAACCGAGAGATTAAAAGTGCCATTTTAAAGGAGTGTACGGCATATAATCGGTAATTAATTTTTGTTCAAATCCGAGACGAATGCAACAGCATTTAGATGCATAAATATAAAATTTTGGGTACATAACGTATAATGATTATGTATACGATAACTATCCCAGAGTGTACAGAAATTAAAAAAGAGAAGAAATAGTGTATCATTATAAAGTGTAAGAAATGTCTAATTCAGCAAATATCATACAGTTCATAATATTGCATTCATTATACAGTAACACATTTATAAAGATTTTGGAGAATTTTGCCATTATTCGTAGCCAATAAGTTTTGTAATTTTACAAACCCTGATTTGCGGTAATATAGCTTTTTTCACACTTCTTTCTTCCTAAAATTTTATCTAAAGAATCAATGCTGAAATTCCTCCCCATGTCATTCTTATAACAATAAAACAAGGTGTCACAGCATTTAGAAATCGGTCGGCATGCTGGTGGACAGATAGAGACATAGCGACATGGTTCTAGAACCAAAGGACAGGCTGTTTGCGCTATTAGTTAGTTCGCTGCTATGGAATAAATAATAGAGAAAATAATTTTGATAAGAAGAAGTCAGAATCGATGCAAATTATAATCATTATTTATTATTTCTTGCTAAGCGACCTCTTCATGTTCACGAGTGTAATTCTGCAGTTTATTCCAAAAATGACAAAGAAAGGTTGCATGCAATGTCTGCAAGAAAATGCGAGATCACTCTTTTGCTTATGCAAAACTCATAAAACCTCAATTAAAATGCAAAGCCATTTCGACCTGCTTCTTTGAAGAGAGACAATGCTAATTGCAACTGTATTTTATGAGTATGCACTTTTTGTATTTTCTGCATCATTTTCGTAATTAAGCGAGAATAACCACGTTTGTTAGTTAAATAATGAAATCGTGCAATGCATTTTGTCAGAAATGCTGTTTATGCGCCAACAAACCTGCATTTTTGTCAAAAGAACAATAAACTCATTAACATAAAATTAGCAGATTATGTGAACCAAGTTAGGTGACCAAACTTACTTTCTGACCTTGGACGCTAAATCGTGACAACGGCACAACGTAAATTACTTTTTATAAAAGATTGCTTCGGTGACCTAGTGGTTAGAGAGCCCGACTCTGATGCGGGAGGTCGCAGGTTCGAACCCTGTCAGAGTCATACCAAAGATTTATTTTTAAAAAATGGTACTGGCAGCTGCCTCGCTAGGCGTTCAGAATTAAGAGGTTAAGACTGGTCGACCTGGTGTTATGATAATGTGACTTGGTGGGACATCATGCCACATGTCTGTGGCAATAGTTTCCAAGTGCAAGACATCGTAGCGATATCACTGAAAAATTGTTAAAGCTATGTTAAACATCCAAAATACACCCACACACACACACACAAAGGTTCGAACGAACAAAACTAGCTCGTCTCCACTATGCAAAACGTTTGAAATGAATCACAATAAAATAGAATAACTTAAAGAAACTTCATAACCATGTCTGGTCTAGTGAAAACCTAATTAATTTCCCTACATGTAGCTCGATCCAAATTATTTACAAATTATACACATTTCCTAGAAATAAGATACAAGATGAGTTTATGTCTCTAGACATGATGAATGCCAGAATCAGTTAACACAGGTCATACCAAGGCCTGACAAGCTAAAATGGAGAAAATAGAATAAATAAATAGACGTAATGGTAATATCAAAATGCTTGCAGTCGATACATGTTATGGTGAACAGTATGTGCTTGCCACATATATGCTATATATAACAATATGTCTATGTTTAGAGGCTGTTAACATCTAAAGTCGAGTCAAGCATAAAAATAATATATAATGTAGTTTTATTTTCGGATTTGTTCCTTAGCTAAGGAGTGTTCATCTTATTTCGATTGGATCAAAATTGTAGTATCTAGCCAGTAAAGAAAGCAAGTAATATTTAAATTACCACAACTTCTGCAGTCCGTCGAAGAAAAAAGGAATATCCGTAGTTAAAATAAAAAGCTCATCCTTGTGTGTTTGTCTCTCTCTCTCTCTCTCTCTCTCTCTCTCTCTCTCTCTCTCTCTCTCTCTCTCTCTCTCTCTCTCTCTCTCTCTCTCTATATATATATATATATATATATATATATATATATATATATATATATATATATATATATATATATATATATATATGTGTGTGTGTGTGTGTGTGTGTTAGTTTTAAATTTTGGGTTTTTTTTAATTTTGTTTCATTATATTTTATAGTAGTGATAATTTTCATTGGATTTGAATCTCTTTTCGGAAATTCACTTAACCTGATTAAAATGTAATAGTTGCTTTATTTTATTACTATTTTTAGTTCACCTTGGTTTAGACGTTTGTAAACATTGAATGAAAATGATTGGCTATTACCAAGGTCATGTTCGGCCTACGTGTTATCCATGTGTAAACAGGTTTTTCTATTATTCATTTCTAACGTGAGAATCTTATTTTTAAGACATGGGCATTTTGGACTACGTGTTAACTAACCTTTTTCTATTCCACTGTTCACATTAGTGATCATATAGCCCGTCACGTGATCCACCATGTAATCTAAAATCGTGTGTTAAAGCAGAAGTTTTCTAGTAGATTTTTCAATCGAAAAATATTACCTTTAGGAGCTCAGAGGTATTTTGTTTTGTTGCCATTTTAATTGAAATTGTTATTGAAAATAATTTATATTCTGTGGAAAATAAGTACTTCTTCATTAAGGTCCTGAACAAAGATATTTAGTGGAAACTATTTGGACTTTTAAATCCGGAATATTATTTTTGATCCACAGAATCCAACAAGGAACTGTTGCCATCAGTACAACGACCTCATCTGATGTCATCGTCTTCCATTTTGTAACTTCATCGAGATTGTAACCTGGATTCAATTAGAACTGTTTAGTGATATGACTTATATTTTTCAATTCCAGTATTCAATTTTGGATTATAATGACAAACAGTAAGTCCCTTGTCAAATTTTTTTGTCAGGAAAATAATATTATTTTGTTAAAATTCACGAAGCATGTTGACTTCACTCTTTACTTTTGTTACCTTTACACAAGCCTGCACAGAACGTGTCATAATATAGTCTCTTTTGATAAAAATGTTTTGTGCATGTTCACCAAATTTTGTTGCAGAAGAAATTTCCTGAAATTAAAATTTATTAAAATATGTTTCGAAATAAATGTCCACTTTATCATATGTGACATAAACACAAAGAAAGCACGCAATCATATATCTTTTAATTTAAATATTGCATTACAAAAGGTCTGGCATTTGGACATAACTAGAGATGACAGCACAACAGAGTCATGAAGCATTTCAACGATCAGCTTCAACAGTCAAGCAAGGCAGAAGTAAATCAACGGATGAAAGGATCTCTGAATTTCATCCTACTTTGATCTTCAGTAGGATTCATTTCATTGGACAAGACAGCAATTTATCTATCACGTTCAATGAAATTGTTTACGAGGTCTGCCTCGATGGTTCATAAACAATATCCTGCAATAGCAATTCGTCATTTGCCAGAAAATGACCAAAATATATTATCTTTAAAAATATGCTTAACATGCAGAAAAGTGGACACTAAATCGTGATGACGGCACAACGTAATCGTTGCATATTTCAGTCATCTAATCATTGACCACTTCAGATTCATTGTACTGATACAACAGGTCATTTTGCTATCTTTTCACTAATAATATTTCTCAACAACACATCCTTGCATACATTGGTTATCTGCCACGATGTATCAATGTTTTGTTGACCAATTGAATTACACCCTAACTGTCCTAAAGTAATCAACAATGACGGCAATCTCTCTCTCTCTCTCTCTCTCTCTCTCTCTCTCTCTCTCTCTCTCTCTCTCTCTCTCTCTCTCTCTCTCTCTCTCTCTCTCTCTCTCTCTCTCTCTCGGAAGCGTGTATCAAGCAAAGAATAAGATTAGTGTCTGACGTCATCTAAATATTCTACAACAACTATCGGATAAATAATTCCGCACTGAGTGTGTAACTAACCAACCAGTCGGCTGCAATAAATAACTAATAATCCACCTCTGCATACTTCTACTACTACTACTACTACTACTACTAATAATAATAATAATAATAATAATAATAATAATAATAATAATAATAATAATAATAATAATAATAATAATAATAATAATAATATTCAGACTAAATGTTAAAATTTGGTGAGTTATAGATCTTGATTTGTACATACATAATTTGCTTTGTAAACTTCACATTGATTCCGAATATATTCACACTTACCCAGAAAGGGTCGTAAATAAATAATGATACAAGTGAAAGTAAATGTCCCAGTCTTTTGTGGGCTTCCTGTTCTTTGAATGACCCTCGTGGTAGCTAGGAGTCGTCGTGATTGTCGTCATTTTCTTTATTGCATCGTCTTTATTCATACCATTTCGTATATTTATCCCCATTGTTCTCATCGTTATTGTTCCCGTTGTGGTTTTCAATATTGTCCACATTTGGTACCTTAAAGTTATATCTTTTTCAGTAACGGTTGCTTCCTTTTTTTTTCTCCATGGGAATACATGTAACTCCGCAACTGGGATTTCCATGTTTCGGTCCAAATCCCAACGTAGATCTTTTTTCCTCACCCAATATTATCATTTAAAGTAAGAAATTATATCGTTATGTGTGCAGTATAATTCACGCGAAAATGTTTACATGTGGTGCATTAAAAAAAAAATTGTTAATGAGATGTTGCGTGAAGTATCAACCGAAGTACAAAGTTTTTATGCGTGAGCCAAAAGTGAAAAAAAGAGAGAACATATAACGTTGCATGGTTTTCGGGTATTATTACATATTATATATGGATGTTGTATAAAAAAAATAACCATACATGATGAATATTTGTTACAAGAAACTTTTTAATTTTCATCAGTTCCAATTTTGAAAAGTTGTAAATAATGAAGCGATGATGGGTACTCATCTCTGCTGTAGTTATACTTAATACAAACTAACGAAGAGTAACATGTTGCATTATATTCTTCATGGGTAATTGATGATCTGTGTCACTATCGTATATAAGTCTCCTGTGTGTGTGTGTGTGTGTGTGTGTGTGTGTGTGTGTGTGTGTGTGTGTGTGTGTGTGTGTGTGTGTGTGTGTGAAAACAACCAATATTGGCATAATTAAATTACCCGGAAAATAATATATGGATCGATGTAGACGATATTATGATATACGGAAGATATACTGTCGTTCATAGGAAATCCATGAATACTGATTGGGATAATCGGACGTTATTACACACTAATGTCGTTCCTAAGAAATTCATATGTATTTCTTTTCTTATTTTGTGTGGAGATTTGCTACCCACTGAGGAAGGTTACTAGGACTGAATAGAAAATATTAAAAATCTAAACAGAAAATGGATTGTTGAGTTCAGACGCTTGGCTTTTGTATAGGATATCAAAGCAAGTAGCCAGGATTCGGTCGCTTCTGAAGATATCACTTGCACTAACACTTCCATGCATTTCATTCAAATGCATCTACTTCTAGAAAATGGAACACGGATACTGCTGAATTTTTGTACATTGTATCCCAATTAGTGCTTGGAATGAGAAAAAAAGTTTAAACTTTTAACTAATGCACTAAATTCATTTTTTAATTAAAAAAAAAGTATAATATTGAATAAAATATACGCAAAACTATATGAGTAACAAAACTGTGAAAAGTATCAAAAGGAAATCCATAGAGAATACACAGTTTGATAATTAAGCATCCTAGATGCATGCAAAGCTAATCAGCGTATGCATGCAAGTGAAATAAGTCAATAAATAACGTATTTTTAAAATATATAAGTTTTCCTTTTTTAATGGTGGGAAGTATTTATACAAGATTTCTTTTTTACAAATGCTCCTGAAGCACACATTATTTTATTACTCGAGTACATAGCTTTTAAATTATCTGAAAATTCACTTGGATGCTAAACATTGTTGGCATAAGTGTTGCCCGTTAACCTTTAGGGTATTGCAACAGCGTGTATATGACACGTGCGGTTAGTTTGCCTATTTACATTTGATAAGGCATTTTTGTTTTCTTTTGATTGCTTTGTGGAGGGGGAGCTGCTCTTTGTTGGGTGTTGTTTTGCTTTTTGTTTTGAGGCATTGTCACCATAATATAGCAATA